ATTCCCCGGTCCTACCCATCCCTCCCTCTGCAGCAGCAAATTCTCGATAGTGGGATTTTCAGGGTTTTTGCGTGCTCAAACGTGAAAAATCGGGGTAAAGCAGCAGCCCGCACACAGCGGGGTTTGATGCTGTGAGTGGCTGTGACGATGTGTGATCTGTTCTCAACGAGCAGTTGGCTCAAGCTTGCGTGTTCCCCAGGATCCCAGAGCACACGGGAACCCTCATCACTGCATATTATCCCTGATGAGGAACACACAAGCTTGAGTCAACTGCTCTGTGTGAACACATAACACATCATACCCATTCACAGCGGCAGGCACTGCTGTCACTTCGGTCTAAAGGGGCGGGGCTTGAGAAACCTCTTCCGACAGGAAAACTGCGGCCTACCCTGCAAGAATGAAGGTCTTAATACATAGCCGACATACCGTCTTCTTCTGAACACAGCCTCACCAATAGCTAATTCCACAACACGCTACAGCAACAAAAAGGAGGACACACTAGGACGCCCAACACCTCCAGCACCGAGTTAACCCTCAAGTCTTTCACTGTCATTGTTTGGGCATTGCCACAGACACGCACATACACCCGCGGGCACACATATGCACACCCTTTCGCTCACACACCCAAACCCACACAATCAGGCAATCTATGACATCTGCCTTCCTCTTTGTCAGTGTTTTCCTCGTACTGCTTTTATTTTCTTTCTCACCCGAACCCACACAGTCAGGCAATCTATAACAGCTGCCTTCCACTTTGTCAGTGTTTTCTTCGTATCGCTTTTATTTTCTTTCTTTGTATTGCTGTCCTGTTTGGCCTTCATCCGTGTAGTACGCTTGGACGACCTGCCCGTCCAAGCCTCTTTTCCCCCACCCACATTCATGCCGTACATCAAAACAAACGAACAGGCATGGGCGCAGTTTCTTTCTCTTTTTGGCTGATACTACCAGCCATTTTGGTCTGGTAGGCATGGGCGCCGTTTCCTTCTCTTTCGGGCTGATGCTGCCAGCAAATTATATGGAGTGCTTCTAACAACAGACAGGGGGGCTGGATGTCCCCACTCAGTCCACTATCATGGCACAGTGTGTGTCTGTGTGGTTTCTGTGCGACAACATATATTTAAAGGACTACCTGCCTCTGATGGTGGCATGAATCAGCTATCCCGTGACTTCTACTTGTGGTAATGATCTGCTTCGCTCCCTGCTGACAGTGTATCCGTAGACCTCATCATGCTGTGCTCGCTGATGCTGCCATGCTCCTTGCCCTGCCATGCCACGCGACCCCCCGCCCACCTCCCATGTGCCCTCCTGCTGTTGCTTACCTGCACTGCCTTGTCAGCTAKCTCTCCTACTATTTACTGGCCTCTCCTCCTGCTTGCCTTCCTGAGTCGTTCCCCTCCTGCTCAACGTGCTTCCCTGCTGTTTCTTCTTCTATCCCACGTGTGTAATTTGTTTCTCTTCTGCTAGTATGTGTGCTTCTGCGATCTTTCGGAACAGTCCTGTCGGCCTACGTGAATAACCAGGAACAGTCCTGTCGGCCTACGTGAATAACCGATAGCACATACCTCCTCATCTTTAGTGAAGACGACGAATCAGGGTGAACGTTAAGCCTCCTCACCTTTAGTGAAGACGACAAATCAGGGTGAACGGTTTAGCCCAGACAAGCTCGCACGCCCACAACGGCCTACGCACAACCACACACTCACTGCACTGCACACACACACACCCCCGTACACACACAAGTTCAACAGCACTACCATTTTAAGTTCCTCACCTTAAAAACGAACACTGCCCGCAAATGAAGAGGCCGGGACATAGGTGCCTCCTCATCCCCTGACGRTGATGGTGACAAACGATCACATTTRCATCTTAGGATGATATAAAGCTGARTAACAGAGCACCACAATAGGTCTCCACAAAAACTAAACTATTCAGGGTCTAATGGAACAGTTTGATGTAAAAAGAAACACTCACATCCACTATTGAGACTTTCCCATGATAACCAGACAGCCATTYAATAGATRTACAAWGATATTCAGCTGAGCAACAGASCTCAAAGAACATCTTCAGCACCACCGCAACTTACGTCGCAACCACCTACGCACTCACGTTGGTTTCTACGTTCACATGTATGACTCGTAAATATCTTGAGCACAGTCACAGCGCTCAAAAAAATGCAGCATGGCCACAACCACTGTGCAGACAGGCCGCGCTCAATTGGGATAGTTTCCCGGTCGAGCCATGGCCTCGAAAAATAGCAAGGTCACTTATTCTCTTCCTTTCTGTCACAGGCACTCTAGAGTAAGACTTATGGAACGATGAAACTAACTCAGGTCGTGAAACCTTAAATTCCTAAAATACAGACCGGATCTAGAATCCGGATGGCACACGAGGAATGACGTTGGTCCTCTGAATTATCGACGTTCAAACTCTGAAATATC